CTCCTCAACCCCTCCAAAATACGCAAAATACTCTCTGAAAAGTCCGGTGTCTCTAAACAGTCCGGTCTGTGGACAGTCCAGTGTCACTGTGGACAGTCCAGTGTCTCTGTGGACAGTCCAGTGTCACTGTGGACAGTCTAGTGTCTCTCTGAACAGTCCGGTGTCTCTGTGGACAGTCCAGTGTCACTGTGGACAGTCCAGTGTCACTGTGGACAGTCCAGTGTCACTGTGGACAGTCCAGTGTCTCTGTGGACAGTCCAGTGTCTCTGTGGACAGTCCAGTGTCACTGTGGACAGTCCAGTGTCACTGTGGACAGTCCAGTGTCTCTGTGGACAGTCCAGTGTCTCTGTGGACAGTCCAGTGTCACTGTGGACAGTCCAGTGTCACTGTGGACAGTCCAGTGTCACTGTGGACAGTCCAGTGTCACTGTGGACAGTCCAGTGTCTCTGTGGACAGTCCAGTGTCACTGTGGACAGTCCAGTGTCACTGTGGACAGTCCAGTGTCACTGTGGACAGTCCAGTGTCACTGTGGACAGTCCGGTGTCTCTGTGAACAGTCCAGTGTCTCTCTGAACAGTCCAGTGTCTCTCTGAACAGTCCAGTGTCACTGTGGACAGTCCAGTGTCACTGTGGACAGTCCAGTGTCACTGTGGACAGTCCAGTGTCTCTGTGGACAGTCAAGTGTCTGTCTGGACAGTCCAGTGTCACTGTGGACAGTCCAGTGTCACTGTGGACAGTCCAGTGTCTCTGTGGACAGTCAAGTGTCTGTCTGGACAGTCCAGTGTCACTGTGGACAGTCCATTGTCACTGTGGACAGTCCAGTGTCACTGTGGACAGTCCAGTGTCACTGTGGACAGTCCAGTGTCTCTGTGGACAGTCCATTGTCACTGTGGACAGTCCAGTGTCACTGTGGACAGTCCAGTGTCACTGTGGACAGTCCAGTGTCTCTGTGGACAGTCCAGTGTCACTGTGGACAGTCCAGTGTCACTGTGGACAGTCCAGTGTCACTGTGGACAGTCCAGTGTCACTGTGGACAGTCCAGTGTCACTGTGGACAGTCCAGTGTCACTGTGGACAGTCCAGTGTCACTGTGGACAGTCCAGTGTCACTGTGGACAGTCCAGTGTCTCTGTGGACAGTCCAGTGTCTCTGTGGACAGTCCAGTGTCTCTGTGGACAGTCCAGTGTCTCTGTGGACAGTCCAGTGTCTCTGTGGACAGTCCAGTGTCACTGTGAACAGTCCAGTGTCTGTCTGAACAGTCCAGTGTCTGTCTGGACAGTCCAGTATCTCTGTGGACAGTCCATTGTCACTGTGGACAGTCCAGTGTCACTGTGAACAGTCCAGTGTCACTGTGAACAGTCCAGTGTCTGTCTGGACAGTCCAGTGTCACTGTGGACAGTCCAGTGTCTGTCTGGACAGTCCAATATCTCTGTGGACAGTCAATTGTCACTGTGGACAGTCCAGTGTCTGTCTGGACAGTCCAGTATCTCTGTGGACAGTCCATTGTCACTGTGGACAGTCCAGTGTCTCTGTGGACAGTCCAGTGTCACTGTGGACAGTCCAGTGTCTGTCTGGACAGTCCAGTGTCACTGTGGACAGTCCAGTGTCACTGTGGACAGTCCAGTGTCACTGTGAACAGTCCAGTGTCACTGTGAACAGTCCAGTGTCACTGTGGACAGTCCAGTGTCACTGTGGACAGTCCAGTGTCACTGTGGACAGTCCAGTGTCACTGTGAACAGTCCAGTGTCACTGTGAACAGTCCAGTGTCACTGTGAACAGTCCAGTGTCACTGTGAACAGTCCAGTGTCACTGTGAACAGTCCAGTGTCTGTCTGGACAGTCCAGTGTCACTGTGGACAGTCCAGTGTCTGTCTGGACAGTCCAGTATCTCTGTGGACAGTCCATTGTCACTGTGGACAGTCCAGTGTCTGTCTGGACAGTCCAGTATCTCTGTGGACAGTCCATTGTCACTGTGGACAGTCCAGTGTCTCTGTGGACAGTCCAGTGTCACTGTGGACAGTCCAGTGTCACTGTGAACAGTCCAGTGTCACTGTGAACAGTCCAGTGTCTGTCTGGACAGTCCAGTGTCACTGTGAACAGTCCAGTGTCTCTCTGAACAGTCCAGTGTCACTGTGAACAGTCCAGTGTCTCTCTGAACAGTCCAGTGTCACTGTGGACAGTCCTGTGTCACTGTGGACAGTCCAGTGTCACTGTGGACAGTCCAGTGTCACTGTGGACAGTCCAGTGTCACTGTGGACAGTCCAGTGTCACTGTGGACAGTCCAGTGTCACTGTGGACAGTCCAGTGTCACTGTGGACAGTCCAGTGTCTCTGTGAACAGTCCAGTGTCACTGTGAACAGTCCAGTGTCACTGTGAACAGTCCAGTGTCACTGTGGACAGTCCTGTGTCACTGTGAACAGTCCAGTGTCACTGTGGACAGTCCAGTGTCTCTGTGAACAGTCCAGTGTCTGTCTGGACAGTCCAGTGTCACTGTGGACAGTCCAGTGTCACTGTGAACAGTCCAGTGTCACTGTGGACAGTCCAGTGTCACTGTGGACAGTCCAGTGTCACTGTGGACAGTCCAGTGTCTCTGTGGACAGTCCAGTGTCTCTCTGAACAGTCTAGTGTCACTGTGGACAGTCCAGTGTCACTGTGGACAGTCCAGTGTCACTGTGGACAGTCCAGTGTCACTGTGGACAGTCCAGTGTCACTGTGAACAGTCCAGTGTATCTGTGGACAGTCCAGTGTCTCTGTGGACAGTCCAGTGTCTCTGTGGACAGTCCAGTGTCACTGTGGACAGTCCAGTGTCACTGTGGACAGTCCAGTGTCACTGTGGACAGTCCAGTGTCACTGTGAACAGTCCAGTGTCTCTGTGGACAGTCCAGTGTCTCTGTGGACAGTCCAGTGTCACTGTGGACAGTCCAGTGTCACTGTGGACAGTCCAGTGTCACTGTGGACAGTCCAGTGTCACTGTGGACAGTCCAGTGTCACTGTGAAAAGTCCAGTGTCACTGTGGACAGTCCAGTGTCACTGTGAACAGTCCAGTGTCTCTGTGGACAGTCCAGTGTCTCTGAGGACAGTCCAGTGTCTCTCTGAACAGTCCAGTGTCACTGTGAACAGTCCAGTGTCACTGTGGACAGTCCAGTGTCACTGTGGACAGTCCAGTGTCACTGTGGACAGTCCAGTGTCACTGTGAACAGTCCAGTGTCTCTGTGGACAGTCTAGTGTCTCTGTGGACAGTCCAGTGTCTCTCTGAACAGTCCAGTGTCACTGTGGACAGTCCAGTGTCTCTGTGAACAGTCCAGTGTCTCTGTGGACAGTCCAGTGTCTCTGTGGACAGTCCAGTGTCTCTGTGGACAGTCCAGTGTCACTGTGGACAGTCCAGTGTCACTGTGGACAGTCCAGTGTCACTGTGGACAGTCCAGTGTCACTGTGAACAGTCCAGTGTCTCTGTGGACAGTCCAGTGTCTCTGTGAACAGTCCAGTGTCTCTGTGAACAGTCCAGTGTCTCTGTGGACAGTCCAGTGTCTCTGTGGACAGTCCAGTGTCTCTCTGAACAGTCCAGTGTCTCTGTGAACAGTCCAGTGTCTCTGTGAACAGTCCAGTGTCACTGTGGACAGTCCAGTGTCTCTGTGAACAGTCCAGTGTCTCTGTGAACAGTCCAGTGTCTCTGTGGACAGTCCAGTGTCTGTCTGGACAGTCCGGTGTCTCTGTGGACAGTCCAGTGTCTCTGTGGACAGTCCAGTGTCACTGTGGACAGTCCAGTGTCACTGTGGACAGTCCAGTGTCACTGTGGACAGTCCAGTGTCTCTGTGGACAGTCCAGTGTCTCTGTGGACAGTCCAGTGTCACTGTGGACAGTCCAGTGTCACTGTGGACAGTCCAGTGTCACTGTGGACAGTCCAGTGTAACTGTGGACAGTCCAGTGTCACTGTGGACAGTCCAGTGTCACTGTGGACAGTCCAGTGTCACTGTGGACAGTCCAGTGTCACTGCGGACAGTCCAGTGTCACTGTGGACAGTCCAGTGTCTCTGTGGACAGTCCAGTGTCACTGTGGACAGTCCAGTGTCACTGTGGACAGTCCAGTGTCACTGTGGACAGTCCAGTGTCACTGTGGACAGTCCAGTGTCACTGTGGACAGTCCAGTGTCACTGTGGACAGTCCAGTGTCACTGTGGACAGTCCAGTGTCACTGTGGACAGTCCAGTGTCACTGTGGACAGTCCAGTGTCACTGTGGACAGTCCAGTGTCTCTGTGGACAGTCCAGTGTCACTGTGGACAGTCCAGTGTCACTGTGGACAGTCCAGTGTCACTGTAGACAGTCCAGTGTCACTGTAGACAGTCCAGTGTCACTGTGGACAGTCCAGTGTCACTGTGGACAGTCCAGTGTCACTGTGGACAGTCCGGTGTCACTGTGGACAGTCCAGTGTCACTGTGGACAGTCCGGTGTCTCTGTGGACAGTCCAGTGTCACTGTGGAAAGTCCAGTGTCACTGTGGACAGTCCGGTGTCTCTGTGGACAGTTCAGTGTCTGTGTGGACAGTCCAGTGTCACTGTGGACAGTTCAGTGTCTGTCTGGACAGTCCAGTGTCACTGTGGACAGTCCAGTGTCTCTGTAGACAGTCCAGTGTCTCTGTGGATAGTCCGGTGTCACTGTGGACAGTCCAGTGTCTCTGTGTACAGTTCAGTGTCTGTGTGGACAGTCCAGTGTCACTGTGGACAGTCCAGTGTCTCTGTGGACAGTCCAGTGTCTCTGTGGACAGTTCAGTGTCTGTGTGGACAGTCCAGTGTCACTGTGGACAGTCCAGTGTCTCTGTGGACAGTCCAGTGTCTCTGTGGACAGTTCAGTGTCTGTGTGGACAGTCCAGTGTCTCTGTGGACAGTTCAGTGTCTGTGTGGACAGTCCAGTGTCACTGTGGACAGTCCAGTGTCTCTGTGGACAGTTCAGTGTCTGTGTGGACAGTCCAGTGTCACTGTGGACAGTCCAGTGTCTCTGTGGACAGTTAA